AACAATAATCGAGTATTGAACGAGCCTCGGTTAATTGAAGTTGAAAACGAATGAAAAACCCCTTGCTTTTTTAATATAGGAGACTTTTCCCGGTGTAATCATCGGCACCTGACAAAAAAATCTCTCATACATAAAATATATAAATTTCCTCTTTTCTACTTCTGGGATTACGACAAAAGTCACTGTTCCCCCATTTTCTACTTCCGTAACGATACCTCGGAGAACATGTGTTCATTTTATTTCACGAAAAGAGGGGAGTAAGAGCGAGACCGAGAGGGGAGTAGAGGGAAAGAATGATGTCAGGCAATTGGCGATTATCGATTACCTGTCGCGAGAATTGAGCGACGACTCAAACCGACACTGTGACGACCCTGAAAAAAAAAAACTAAACACGGTGAACACTTTGTGTTTCAGCGTTTCCACTGAAAAACTATGTACCAGAGGCAAAAAAAAAATCCGAGTGCATATGTGCTACCCTCGAGCCAGGGGTGTGCTTTTTATCGAAACCATTATAGAACTTTTTTTTCTAACGAAAAGTTCTCAAAGCCCTTTTCTCACTTTCCGCCTCTTCGGGACCTCAGCCCCGCTGTTTCGCATGGATGAATCAAGCAAAATAAGGAGGAGACAGGGGAAAAGTGGAGACAACAGGGAAGACAATGCTTTCTCTTCCACTGCGTTAACATTCTCACTTTTTCCATCGGCAACGTTTAAACCCGAACGAAAAATGGTTTTCTGGGTTATGCCATAGTAAAAAAAAAACGTAGATCACTCATAAAATATTCTTCGGTGAGAAAAGTGAAAGAACACGATTTTTTCTCGAGGATCTCTCGTTGATCGTTATGGTGCACGTAAATCTTTCAAAAATTTGGAAATGGAGGGGTAATTTCACCTTTTACGATGCATTTTACTCAATTTTTATGGTTTATTCTAATTTCATTGTGAATTACAAATTCATTCGGCGCTCTATCATGTCGCACAAGTTTTATCCTATACAATACCCAATCGGATGAATTCATGTAATTATGAAATTGACAAGAATTATAAAAAAATTCTTAAACAAAATAAATAAATATAAGTTGAGGAAATTTTAATTTGTATTTCCAATCTCTCTATGGGAACTGAATTTTCCGGTTCCTCTGGTACGATTGAAAAAAAGACGTGATTTTTCACGGGGCAACGAACTCGCGGATCCACGTAAAGAAATCAAAGTGATGGCGGTCTCCCCCGGCCTTTCGCGATTCGTGATTCAGTTAGGAGTTTGAGGTTTGAGGTCGAGAGGCGTCATTATGTCGCAGAGAGTCAAGACTCGAGGGACTTGTGATGGTGAATAAAGGAGAGACAAAAGCGCAGAAGCTAGAGCATCTGAGTGAGTGGTGGTCAGCGGTGGTCAGCGGTGGTCAGCGGTGGTGAAGACGAAGGTGGTAACGCCATAAGGTTGCGTGGATGTGGCAAAGTGGTGCGAGCGAGAGGTCGATCCATCAGCAAGAATTTTATCCACCAGGTGAGGGACAAAAACGCTGCATTAGCGAGCTGTCAAGCTACCGTCCTGAAACGCTGCATTCACATCGACCGCCCGCTGATGTCCACTTCTACTTACTAAATTAGCATTATTACTATTTTACCCACCGACTTGTACACTGCAATCAGCCACAAAAATGTAATCAATGTATAACGCCAGCCAGTAATCCGAATAAAATAAATTCGAGAGTTGAAAAGAGTTGAAAAAAAAAACTGCACGCAGATGGACTGATGAAAGAAACCTTTCCTCGTCTTCATCGTCTGACTTAACGACCACAAAGTACGTTACCCTGGGAATGCACCACGAAGGCCAATATAACTCACTTTCACAGACTCTCAGAGAAGTTGAATATTCCTCCTCCTCCCCCCCCCCCCTCGCTCCATATATTATCCGACTTCTGATGCACACGTCACTGGAAAAACTTGCACGAATATGGCTTTTTATCATTTGGATTCTACACTGGGAAATCATACCTTGGGCGCAGGAGGTGGGAAAATCATTTGAATAGAACATCACGTTTTGAAGTAATAACGAGACTACTTGGAAGCAAGGCGGCTGCAGCCTTAAATTGCTGAGAAAAAGATTTCCGACTTTATAAAATGTGACTAGAGTGGATGAGAGATGCAATGTCCTTCCTGAGAATTAAATCGGATTTTATAAGAGTGAGGTGTTTGAAATATGCATCGATGTAGAGAGATTCATCCAATTCTCCAGAAAACTTAATGCAGCAGTTGTTTAATTTGAATTATAAAGAATCAGTCAATGGGCTTGAAAATGTGAGATTATGCTTTAAATTGTAAAAGTAATTTTTCAACAGGGAAGTGGAAGAATGAAGTGGAGTTCGTTGTCATGGTTTTTTTTTTTAGCGTGTGAATTTTGAGAAGAGGCACATGATACACCTGAAGATTGGGCGTCCTCTCGATGCCAGAGGATGTCTCGACTCCTCGTCTTACGCATCCCCATCCCCATCGAGCGTGTAAGTCCACGTCGGCGGCCATACATCACTCGGCGTCTTCTCGGCGTGAAACCCAGCACGATGGTCATCCCCACGAGTGCAACAGAGAAAAGGCCAACCTCCGGTAATTATTATTACCTCGTGTTTGTAGTGGTACGCAAGGGCCCCATTGCCAAGCCAAACAGCGGGGAACCAGAGAAAAGAGTGCGTTCGGTGTGGTTCCCTGTAATCAGTGTTAGAGAGAGGTAGAGACGGCACTAGAGGATGCGAGAAAAAATAAAATAAATGAAATGAAAAAAACAAAAAAATGACAGAGTCGCACGTACGGCGTTTCTCAAATTTACCCAGCCTCTCAGCACCTTCCTCACGTCAACGTGAATTTAAAATTGTCTATTTTCTCGTCGACGACTCGAGTTGGGTCGGATTCAGAATGGAGACGTTTTGTAGCGATACTCGCACGCTCCAACGACTCATACTGATGATATTCGTGAGATAAAGGGAAGAAATAAAGATCCTTTGTATGTACTACCTTTGAACTTGTCTCCAAAGCCCCTCCCCTCATCTATCCCTGGTTTTCCAACATTTTCCTCTTTTCACTTCAGTTCAGACTGAGCAAAATTCTCTTCTTCAAGTGGCCAAGTTCTTTTTTTTTCGGCGACGAGCATCGAGTGGAGGAGCTCCCAGGCTGACTCCAGGGCACGTTCGAGTTAGTCAGACTCCTGGGTGGCTGTTTATTCTTCATGGCTTTTCATTTCCACCAATTTCACTTGTTTTCAAGATCATTCTCCTCGTCAACTAATTTTTTCCACCGATATTTTTCTCTCCTCTCTCTTTTCAATGGGCTCTTTCTTTTTTTTAAACGTGCTCTCGGAGCTCTCTTTAGCAATCGTATCGCTTGTAATAAGCGGTCTCAGCGTACCTCAGTGTACCCACGATTATGAAGCTCCCCGGGTTGTCGAGTTAAGGCCCACGGTTTGGAGATAAACTATAAGCATAAAACTGTTTCTGTTTCGTCGAAGGGCATATTTAAATTCATTTACACAAAACTTGAAGCATCGTAGAAAATAATTGGTATTGGTGCTCTCAATGGCACGTGCACTTTGTGGTTGAATGAAAAAGGATATTTGGGATCTTCTGCGAACAGACGATGCGAAAAATTCTCCACTATTCTGTGACTTAAAATTCAATTACTTTTCATTGTTTCATTCTTTTATTTGTAGCTCAATTATTTAATAAAAGTTATTTTATTACAATTAAGATATCAAGAAGAGAAAATATTTTTTGTACTGTTACTTTTTGGAGATAAGAGTGACTTTTTCAAAAATCAAATTCCATCATCAACCAACTGCTGATTTTGAATAAATTTCTCTCAGAAATAAGATTAAATCCGAAGTAGCAAAAATTCAGAGGGAAAAATTCATTGAATGTTACAACGCCGTATTATGCTCGCAGAAGTATCGATGAAACGAAGGTATCGATAAATTTTCATTTGAATATTTTATAAATTCAAATTTCGTTAACAAGAAAGCAAGATCCATTGCTGTTAACGCCCGGTAGATATCTCCGGGTACTCCAATGAATATTTGAAGCCCCATATTGATGGTTTCTCGCAACAGTTTTATTCTCATATTCCACTTCTCCCCCTCGATATTCTCCACAGTATCCTAGCCGCGTTTCTTGATCATTCATTAATTTATGATAAGCTACCCTGGGTGCCGAGAGCATTACACCAAAACACCCACGTATATGTGTCCAGGATTCACCATAAATCATTTTATTTTTCGGGGGAGGTTTGGGGGACCTGACGTTAATTGTACGCCACCCCTCGTTACCCGGAGAAATGAGATTTTTTTAATTGGCGAATTTTTCACTGTCGCTGACACCGCGACACCATTACCCCTCTTTATTTCTTTTTTCATTCCTCGACGCTCATCCATTTGACTTTTCCCGCGCGCCTTCGCGTACCGTTCGATGAATAAAAATTTTTCACCGTCTCCCGCAAGAGTAATCGACTTCCTTCCTGATGTATTGATCCTGGTGAATTATTTTATTATTCTCGGGGGCTTCAGATATCCGAGTGTCTAAACGCGTCGATTAAATCTTAAGAGGGATAATGACTACCGAGTTAATTTCATTTTGTAACTCAAGGATTTCAAAGATAATGATGGATACCAATAATTTATGCGGAAGTTTGATATTACTGATAAAATTAAATTTCAATGAAATCTTCTGTTTTAGCGATGGTATATTATTTGTCTATTTTCCCTGGGTTTGACGCTTTTATTATCATCCAAAACATGATGAGTCAAAAGCGATAAGCCTTTCTAAATCGGACACCGACTGAAATTACCGAAAAATGAAAGACATTTGCTTTGTTTTCGTATTTTCTCCGGGTTTGTGGGTTGGTTTTATTAGCAGGTTTTATTATTGAGTGCGGGAACGGCAATTCCTAAGAAGAGTCTGCATTATCGACGACACCTCGATAAAATTCCTCAGGTCGGCATGATACCCGCGTGAGTGCGCCACCCTCTCCAACATGGCCACGTGCTAGACGTGTTTACGATCTCCGCATTTGTGTTAAATTCCCGATAGAAAAACAGCCTCCAGGAAAAATCCAACGTCCTGTCGTGGAAAATTCGATGACGGGTCAGTGAAACGTGACTATTTTCATTTGCAATGATAAATCGAGGTAGGTGTGTTCTTTGAGCAGTGGATACGTCATGCTCGTGGCTGTGGTGTTATCAAGTGGTTGAGTCCTCATGAAAATAATTTGAGATGGCATCAACGTCATCGCCACCGCCCAAATGCACTTGTCAGCTCAGTGACAGCGAGGACATGAGGTCTAGTGAAGCTGTCAAGAATTATCGACCACATGGGAGTCTTGCTCGACTACTCTGGGAAAAACAGCGGGCCGACGAGCGACTCTTGGGATACGACAAAACTCGGGTGAGCATCTTTTTTTTTTTCCCTCCCTTTTAAATGTGCGCTGTGCAATTGAATGTGTACGAGAGAGAGAGAGAAAGAGAGAGCGAGAGAGAATCAAACTCCAGTAATCACCGCACGAGGTCACGCCTATTGTCCTCTGCATATTACCGACTGTGTTGACTAGTATAGTAAAATTTTTAGTTTTTTTTTGTCGTTGAAACCTTCTGAGAATGGTAATTATTTCTGCCAATTAGTATTGACAGAGAGGAAAATTTATTTGGGGATTTTTTTCGAAATTTTTTACGTTTCATTCATCATAATTGCAGTAATGCTAACATATCCATGAATTATTGAGAATTTTATAACAATTTGCCGTTTTGGTGAATTGTTGTTATTTGAATTGCTGGCATTTTAAATTTGATGTTTCACAGGTAGAGTACAGTAAATTCTTAATTATTCTTTTTATTTTTAACTAACATTCTTAACATAAAGATTTTCGAGACTTGGGATATTTAGTTTAATATACAAGCAATTCCGATTATTTATTTTTTTCTCTAATGGAATTAGATGAAGAAAGTGAAAGATGCTACTGAATTCTTAAAGATACTAAATTTAAACTAAATTTACGGGATTTAAAAATGAAATATCAGAGGATGGTGTTGTTTGAAGAAAATCTGACAGTTCCACTTGCACTGGCGAACATTTTATGATTGATATCCCCCGATGATGTGCAAATTCTCAAAGGCGACTGATTGGCGCTATTAAAATCAGCTCGGTGGAATTAATTCGACCGGGGGGTTAATGAGTGAATGATCACGAGCGAAGTTCGTAGCTATCAATTAAATTCCCATTGACGCTGGTACGGTCAATTCCAAGTGGTGAATACATAAAGATTTATTAATTGGAGCAATCAAATGTAAATTGACGACGGAGTCACATGAAGTGCTTTCATCTCGCATCCTTAATCGAAGACTAAACATCTATTTGTGATCCATCGTCGGACGATAGCCTCCAGCAAATCCCCATTACGAGACCTCTAGACGAAGGAGAGAACTGCTAATTGCTTGTGCAATAAAATTTCACCGTAAAAAATCCCGTCATTTCCCCGCAGATTACCCCTAACCAGTGATTAAGTGAAAATGTTGCAATTCAAGTCGACATTTTATCCATTCAGGAGCAACTCTCCGAGCCAAATTATTTAATTTGAAATTCCCTGAATATCATTAAGAAAATATTTCACCGCACTCGGCAATTATCCGTTGCCAAATAATTGCATCAATTAACACGTGCCCCATTATGCGATTTGGCTGTAGCAATTGGGATGGGATTTTTTTGATTCTCTTTTAGTGGCACTTTTGTATACCTCTTTTTATTTCTCCGTTGATCTTTGGAGCTGGACGAGCACTAAAATCAGGCACGAGAAGGCATTCGCCGAAGACCATCAAGTGGAAAAAGATGGCAAGGCGAGAGGATCGGTGGAGAGGAGGGCCAGTAATAATTAGTACAATTACTCGGCAAGGCCAACCACTGCTCTATCTCTCTCTCACCCCGTTGGCGAACATACCTACCCTGGACTTGGGCCCTCCATCCTCTCCCTCTGCTCAAGATTCAAGCCCGTGCTCGGTAATTACGGATAATTACGTCCTCGCTATTCCTGAAAACATCGCCCGCACACTACAGTGTGTTGGCTCCTCTCTCATGGCCTCCGAACTCTCATCCCACGATTTTCTCACGTGTTTTAAAGGCTCTCGAATTACTTATAATTAACAGTTGAAAATATCGATTTGCCCTCGAGTCAACCATAAATATGAAATCCCGCGCAATCTTTATTTATTTTTTTTCGAATTAACCACCGAAGCAAAATTTCTTCAAACAAAAATCCACATCTCATTTTTCAAATGACAAACAAATTTATTATCTTTTCCTATCCCTTGAAGCTATACCATTGAAAATTCTCCCTCTCAACTTCTCTTAGACTAAACGTTCACACATTTCCACTCCAAAAAATCAAAATTTCCTCCTTTAAAAATGAAAAAACATCGGATTTCTCTTCATTCAAACATTAAAAAATACTCTAATTCGTTGATTAAAAAAAAGCAAAGTAAAAATGGCATTTTCCACTGCGATAAAAATCCTCCTCCAACTTTTCCCAAATTAAACATTTACTTGCAAACTAAAATACTCGGAAAGAACTCATTTCAATACTTCTTTTCCCCGAAGAAGAAAAAAAAATGCAGCGGCAAACTCGGAGCTCGGAGAAACTAAAAAAGAAAATCTAAACTTCCTTTTTCACCACCGGAGTATTCGCATTGACTCAAACAGACGTAGTGTATACTCCCCGGTGCGAGATAGCGTCGTGAAAAGTCGACCCTCACCGGCATCTAATATCCCTAAGCAAAGTCGAAGTGGAACTTTACTTTCAAGGGAGAGGAGAGAAACCCGAGAGTGGCAAGACGAGAGTAGTAGCAACGGTGTTTTTAAGGTTTTAAAAAGGGCGGCTCTGGACGCGCGAGAGGAGGAGAAGAAGAAAAAAAGAAGTCTAAGGAGAAAGACAACCAAGAGAGAACGACATGGATTCATAGTGGGAGGAACCGAGACAACCAATTCTGTGGCAGAACTAGCAGGAGGCGAGGGGGCTTTGAAATATTAAGTGACTGATGGATGAGACTCCTGAGGGAAGTGCGAAAAGAGGGAAGAGCACGAGATGAGGCGACGGAAGACAAGGGTAAAAGCCAAGTGGAGATGAGAGCGTGTGGAGCAGAAGGCATAACAAAAAGCCCCAAAAACAAAGAGAGACGAAATAAAGAAGCGGTTAGTTCAATTGCATTTTGCTGTGGTTTTTCACCGTCTGTTTTTAGTTTATCTTTCTTTTTTAATTCCCGTTTTCTTTAGAATTTTTAAGCACGCGAACCCACCACTTATATCCAAAACTATATGCACCAACATCTCGTGTACATTGATTATTATTATTGATAAAAATGCAAATTATTCCGTGAATATGGCAATTATAATTGACGATTTTTTCTTCACTTCACCCGCGAGGACAGGCACACCATAAATTGTCGTGTGGTGTGTCGTTGCTACTCGGTTCAGTGAGAGAGGTGACTTTTTTTTTTCTCTATTTTCTCCTTTTTTTGCGAGCATAATCATCAGACTTCTAATGGTGCACTCCTTTCATCGTTGGCCCTACCCGGTATTAATAACAATGGAGTGTAACCATTATCATTATATTGTTTGTTATCACGCGATATTGGAAAAGGGTGAGAGTAAAATTGGCCTGAAATAATGCGGTGGAGTACGCCCACAAAATGATGCCATTAAAATCCGGTTATTTTTAATTATTTCTCATTTATTTTTCTACACGAGAGGCATTTTCCATTCGATCACCATCAACCCCTTAATCCACTCTTTCTCATTATTTAGAGCCTCCGAGTTTCTTCACGATCTCAACACCGAGAAATTTAATTCCCGTGTATTTGCACTGAAATTTTTCCATCTGATTTTACATCATCAATTTCATTTTCTCGATAGAATAAACGATCTTTATCGGACAGAAGTTTATACGCCGACAGTGTTAACGAATAGATTTTCACGCATGATCAGGGGTTTCATAGAATTTCTCGGTTTCTTGAGCATATCGGAGAGGCGCCTCCACACCGATAACGATCCGAAGTGGATCCCAAGTGCTAACTCCAGTGGGATAAATGTTATGGATAATGCCCATTGGTTTGAGGCTGGATGAATGTGGAGACCTCTCCTGAGGTGGTGATGGGTTAAAAATGGCAGATGTATAGAGCCATTGGGTATTGGAAGAACGGGGAATGGGACCTCTTGTTGGTCGCATCCTGGTCGTTCTGATCCTCTCTCGTTTCTACGATGCATTCACCATATTCTCGGCGCGAACGCGTTCGTTAGCTCGATCGCTTTGGGTTAAAAGCCCTCACGGTTAGTTAAACCGTCCGCTTTTCCAATCAGCCTTCGTACACCCACCCGCGCCGATACAGTCGCTCCAACGCCCCGGATGATCCCTTGGGCGGATATCCAGTCCTTGATTGCATAGATATTTATGGGGGCAAAAATATTCCCTTTCATTTCTTTTCTTTTTTTTCAATACACTTTTTTTCAATTTTCTGGTTAGATCTGATACAAGTCTCTCCGAGAGAAATCACTCGACTGAAATACAGGGGGAAAAACCCGGAGAATTAAGATTTCCGGGAATTCTCTGATTTTTTAGAGAATTTGAAGACCATTAATTTCCCTGATTCAGTATTGTATAATCGATAATATTTTCATGTCAATCCGGTTTTTCTTGAGGGTCAGAAAAAAAATTTCTCAACTTGAAAGGACGATGACTTGTCGGAGAAAACAATTGTTGATAATTGATGATTGAGCGAAGCAAATAGCGTACAAAACGGTGATGAAAAATGCTCCATTAAACTCAAGTCGATGTTGCGATAAGAGAGTGAGGCGGAGTAAAAATGGAGGGACGTAAAAATGTGTCTCAAGTGCGCGTTCACGATAGCACGAGTCACGCATATGTACGTTTCGCATATGTCGTCTGGGGGGAGAGTTGAAAAAAAAAGGGATAGGGTGAAAAAAAATGAGAGAAAAAGGATAACTAAATGGGGCCCAACGAGGACGCGGCCAATAACATAATGGCACAGGAAGAGAATGCGCTTGACTCGCGATCCAACACGCCAGTGGAATTCGAGGAGCGTAGAGAAGTACGTCCAAACATCCCCGGGATTCCTCGGGGCGAAGTGTGAACCTCATCCTCTATCCGTGCACTCCTTGTTTATATCGTTTCGTGGTTTACGTCCTCTGGTTACCCCATTGGTTAGTCCGGGAGAATATGACGGAAAATATGGTGCGGGATAGTGGAAAAAAAGAGGATTGAGAGGCCGCGGGGTAAAAATAGAATGAGTCCGTAGAAAGGTAAACGTTTGGCGAACATGAGAGCAAGCTTCTGTGAAACCATCGATCTTCCTTAATCGACATTCTAAGCAGATCTCAGATAAACCCATCGGCTTTCCCCTCCCCACTCGTCAAGAGGTACCTCGTTATTTTTTTTATTCCCCCACCCTCTTTTTACATTTGGCTTGTAGGCGTCAATTAAGACACCCCGAGGTCTGATGTGTCTCGAAATCCTTTAACGAGATACTCGCGCTTTTTTTTGCCGAGTTTGGCTTCTGTTTTATGGCATTTTCTTGCCGTCCAGGGAAAATTCAGGAAACTACTCCGGTCGAGGGTTTCTGAAGACTTTGAATCGTAAATGTTTTATGAGAGATGAAAAAGTGAAAATTAGTCGGTTGTTTGGGGAAATTAAATGGAATATAATATCTGCGCATTAAAATTTTTTATGAAATTTCAACACCAGAATTTAAAAGCCATTTGACTAGAATTTTTGTTATTTTTCATTTAATTTTTTATTTAAACTGCTGGAAAATTAGGGAAATTACTGTAAAAATGTAATTTCTTATCACAATTAAATACCACAATCTCTTTAATAAATCTATCTATAACAATTTCCTTAGAGATTCAGTGCAAGTCCAGAATTTCACGAAAGACAAATAATTCCTTAATTTATTTCAATGTCTGATCAAATATAAATATGAATTATCACCAAAATCTGAAAATCCACAATTTTTCCAGTTTCTCGGTAAACATGGAATAAAAGTTGGCAGTTCTTTTCAATGACAAGATGTGAAATTTCCATGATTTTGGAGCGGATGATTAAAACAAAATTTTAAACAAAGATGAATTCGCGCAGATGAATTCAGAGTCATTTTGCTCTCGTTGCGAACCAGAAGAGACGCCGGGTGGACGTTGATTTAGGTGGCTGGGATTTTCAACCTCGACTACCTGTCTCTGGTGCTCGAATGTGTTGGATCGACGAAGGGAGGGCCGACGGGGAGGGTGAGGGCACCTCGATTTCTCTCGGCGTGTAACTGGGTGTATAGGGAGGGAATCCTGAGCACCACAGAAGTCGCCACTAATGACACGAAAAGGAATGCTGTTCGGCAGCGCGCGACCACAATCCGTACTACGGTAGCCATTTGTGATTCCCGGGGGGAAAACCAATGAAAAAAGGTGGATCAAAGTGTGATGATGGCAGGTGGTGATTGTTCAGGGCAATTAATCTATCGTCTCTTCGTAGAATCCTTTCAATCCATCAGCTCAACAATAGCATCGCTCAATTTTTTAAGAGTTTCTCTGGATCCAATAAAAATAGCCACATTTTTACTTTTATATTCAGAGAAATTCGATTTTTACCAATTTTCTTTTTACCCTTATAGATGTTCATGAATTTCTAGAAATTATGTATTTCATGATTTTTTTTCTATCTGGGGAATTATCAGAACTGTTTTTTTTCTATGAGATCCGATTCTACAACGATTTTACTCAATCGGTATTGTGACAGCTCTCTTCCATAATTTTCAATTAACCATAGAAATTGTTGGTAACTCGAAAAAATTGATAAGTTGATTGGAAAGATTGGAAGAAGTGAAAAATTCCATTTGAAAGACAGTGGTGGCTGGTAGACGTTCCACTGCAAGTCATCATACTCGACATACCACAGTTTTTCCCGTGGATGCTCATCGACCTTCAGTGCACCATCCCGTCCAAATCAATCATACACATATCCCATCACCGTGGTCTTTACAAATTAAATCGTTCAGCTTGTTGCGACTTTACAATTTAATTAATGGACAACAGTGAGCATTCGTATCACGACTATAACTGTTTACATTGCTGGTAGATCGATCCTCGCCGGAGTTTGATGGATGCCTGTTGAATCCGTCTTTCCTGTACGCAATTGCTTTAATTAGAGAAATCAATTAACGTCAATGTCATCCGGAAACGGTTACGAGACATCAATTTCCCCGAGTGCGTCCTCCATAATTCTCCAACTTTCAGACTAGAAGACCTCAATAGGAGCGTGCAAATTCCTTGAGTTAAAAGACCAGAATTCCAGTTTACCCCTCGACAAAAATTATTCCATCTGTTATTATAAATATTTATTTGATGCAAATAATTTTTTCTAATCAAGTTTTAGTTGTTGTTGTTTAAAATTAATTTATTACTCGAATTGAATAGTTTTGTTTGATCGGAATCAGTCATTTATCTGGGTGCAGTGCTGAATAATTTTCTCCGGCATTCCAATGGAGAAAGAACTCCCTGGCTCCGGCACACCTGGACGCCAGTGTTAATTACTCTCCCGCTATGATCAGCAAAACCAAAATTCCTCATCCCACCCAAGGTATCCTCTTTTTGTGGTCCAGCCGTCTCAACTCCATCCTGGGCATATCTACCACTAAAAACCAAGAGGACTGGCTGAAGAAAACAAGTGGAATAAAATCCCATAAAAACTCCACCTAAAGGGGAGCAGCAACAAGTGTCCCCCGTCGCGAGTTGAGGCGCAAAAGCATCTCTAATTATCCTCCTAAGAATGGCCAAAGTCGAGACTCATGTGGATGCCCTCAAGCGAAACGAAACAAAAACCAAACTGATTGCGTTTTTCGAATATAAACCGACTCTTTCTCCCATACCCACCCAGCGAGTCCCATTAGTCCCCGTGCGAATGAAATCGATTTATTCTTGATGCCGTCACTTGGGTAATTGGTAATTACTCGACCAACGCTGTTGTCCGCAATGACCACCTCATTACGACAAAAAGAAAATGAATAAAAATCGAATTGAATTAAAATTAGTAAATCGGTAGAATTGCCTATTCTCTAATGAACTTCAAGAACACTTCATGAACAGTTCAATCACGCTACAAAAGAGATCATTACAGAAATTTCATCATCTTCCTTAGATTCGACGATATTCGATATTGTAAAGTTGGTCTTAAAATTTTCAATTTAAAAATTGATTTTTGCTTTTAGTGGTACACGATCGATGAAAGCAAAATACGAGAGGATATCCTGAGGCTGTGGGTGCCACTGGGATCAGGACCACGACATGACCAGCCGGACGAGACAGCCGAGGGGTTTCTGATCACATCCACCGAGAGGTCAGACTCACTGCCCCTCCAGGCCTGGCACTCGTTGGCTAGATCTGCACTCTCCTGGTTCATCAGCAGAACTTCGATAAATGGGTAATTACTCCAACAATCCATTAATTTCACAACAATTAATATGATTAATTACCGTGTTTAACAAATTATAAAAATTTCACTTGCATTCTCGTGGCTGTCCTCTTGACATTTTGACTTCACCTTCACTCTTGGTGAATAGCATACCCAGAGATATCATCCGCATCAGGAATCTAAGGTCGTTTGCGAGGTGATGAAAGGGGGCTTTACCCTTTCGCCGTTTAATTAATAACCAAGGGGGGAAGATAGCATCTCCGCCTATCTCCCTGTCCCGCTCATCCTCGACAACCTGGTGGCAAAGAGAAGGCAACGTGTGCCTGATGGTGTATGAGGCATCACACGGCCCAGAGGATAACGTCTGGCCCAAACTCAGAAGGTGGGCATGGGTTATTGATGGCCAGCTTTGTGTGCCCCACCTATCACCCTTCATTTTTTTTTTCTACTACCGAGTCCCTCCTTTCGCCCTCTGTCTCCCCAAAACCGTTTATTAAAATCCAACTTGGGTGATTAACCTGCATTGCATAACTCACTCGGCTACTGAACTTACCCTCGGGCCAAAGGGTTTGTAACTTTGGAAATCACCATTCCACTTGCCGATTAAATCGCTTGGAAATCATGGAAATCGCGCAATTTCCAATTGCACTGGCGCCTAGAATTGCATGGAAAAAGCATCATTATTCCCATGACAGTTATGTCGATTTGGATTTGCAAACGAAATTCTTGAATTCAAGGAAATTCATGAATTTTCAATTAAACTGATTCAATTTTCAACGTTCTTATAATGTTTCATGATTGTAAAAAATGAACAATCTCAAAATAATTGATTTTTTTCATCTAAACGACATAAAAATGAATCGAATAAATGATGAATAAAGGATTAAAACTCTGGAAATAATTAAGGAAATAATAACGTCACACAAGGTGACAGTTAAAAAGCCATCGGTGATATTCACGAAACCGAATGTCGAGAGAATCAGTCACAGACGACTTTGATTGAATTTTTAATTACGCATTTTTCCTCGAATAATTTTTCGGTGTTATTAATCACAGACTCAATTATTTGCACTTCACCTCAACCCCAAGGATCTCAGTCACCATAAAGATATGACGTACCCGAGGCAGTGTGTCCCGCTGAGAATATTAATTACGTACCACCACATACGAGCGCAAGAAGGTGATCCCGGTGGCACCCAGAGGCACACACCACTTCGTACCACAAATTAATCATAATTAGTGACTTCATGATTGTCCTCCATCAAAGTGAAGTGCCGGCGAGTCGACTCTGAGCTTTTTTTTTTAAAAAAAAAACCCACCCAAAGAATTGAGCAAGTGAGATATTCGTTGAAAAAGGGAGTCAACAAATGAGAATCACTCGAAGCGTGAATCCGCTCTCCATGAAGTCCTTCCACATCTTCAAATGTCCCTCCAGCCCTCCAGACCTCCAGCACATCTCCCTCCCCGGATTATCACTGAAAAGTCACTGGCAATTTCTCAAGAACTCGTGCGCTTTTTCAATCAATTAAAATTGATTTCACCAAGTGAAAAAGCCAGATGGAGGTGTAAAAAATGAGTATAGAGAGCACGTATCATTACTTCAACAGCTATTACATTTGATGTTTCGTCCTTCGACTTGTCCCTAAGCCGGAGAATCTCGAAGGTCGTTTGAGGGTGTAAAATGGCTGAGTTTGCGGATCAAGTGTAGAGCGATGACGAGTTATATCTCCCCCCTCCTCGATTACTTGGTGGACAGACGGAACCCGGTAGCAAGTTTTTGCTGTTGTGTTGACGAGCTACTGGACAACCAGGAGTAAAGGACTGAGGGAATGAAGAACATCAAATACGAGAGGAAAGGGGCTGTTTAGTTCCGCGCGCCACCTGTTACCTCCCTGATATCTCTGAAATGTCGGCCCCAGCTATTGCCAGAAAAGGGTTATTCGGTGCTTCTCGATTGGTTTCTTCTGAAAGCACCTGGAATGCCTCCAGTGTATCACAAGAAAACTGATAGAATTTCAACTGTCAGACGGATTTAGTACCTTTTCACCTGGAAATGGAGAAATCACGAGAGCTATTGATTCAGCCACGTTCAATTAACATAATATAAACCGGACATGAATTGTTCTCAATTTGATTCATCATCAATTTGCGAGAGGAACAACAGGAGTCCGGAGTGTATCGTTCAATCATTTTGTCTCGAGCATTGTGACTAGGCAATTCGTGTGGTGGGGCAATGTGTCGCTGAAATGCCGGCGGTAAATATGATTTTAATGAGTAATACCCCTCCCCCTCTGTACACCTCCTCACCCCCGTGGGATTCATACCGAGCAACACCACCACAAAGCCAGTAGTCACATTACTGCAATCTCTTTCTACTCCCTCATCTTCTCTCCCTCTCTCAGCACATTTTCCACCCTCTTCTCCCCCCCCCCCCTCCCGCCACATTTGTATACAGTGTATACTATACCTTTCGTCCATGCAGTCGGGTAATTGCCAACCGCCTGGAATCAGTAATTCCACTGAAAATGTCCCACGTGTTTCCAGGAACATTATTACACTCGCTTGGTAATAAAGTGAGAAAAAAAAACGATGAATAAGAGATATACGAACACGTCGACATTAGCCACTGGCTTATGGAGTCAGGAAGTGTTATTGGTTAATGCTCGTGCGGAGAAAATACTGTATGCCGTGGAGATAGATAACGAAAATGGAAAACAACAAATTGGACGTACAAACGGTTAACTACTCGGACTGAGGATTGGGGACAATTGTTCATTCCAAAATTACAAGGTGACAAACTATAGGTTAACAGGGGAAGAGGACGACGGAAGGGACAACACAGGGGAAAATTGATATTTAGCAAGTGGTGGAACACAGTAGTCAGCGATCGATTTCGTCATCGACTGGGCTCAGAAATATAAATACTTGGTGTGTTTTTCAAAAGCATTTTGAGCTTAGATATAAATTGAGCATGGTCACTATTTGTTCAGAACCGATTTTTTTAATATGAATAATTTCATTCGATTTTACATAATGGCATGAACAGAAGATTTTTAATGCTTTTTTGGGTCACGATAAAAAAATTTCTTCAAACGTGTCTTAAACACAGAGGAGATGTTTTTTTCATAATCGATTGAAACAAGAAGGATCAATACCGATATTTGTATTTCTGGAATAACTAATTTCCTCATTGCTCCATAAATGATCAAAGAATGGCAGCTCTAATTCCCAGGCTGAAAGGACTGAATAAAATTGAAAAGCCCAGTTTAATCAGCCATTCAGCTTGGCATCGCCAAGGGCTGGACATATCCTCGACTCCAGTATCGAGATATCGGTAGCCATTATTCCTACCGTCAGAATCCCTCTGAATACCGATGTCCCACACCTACTCTGCATGAAACTCAACTCCACCCACACACAGCTGAATCCCTCAGCCATCACTCACAATTCCCCAGAAGAAGTGCGGTAAAAGCGAAGAACTCGTATATGTCCTTATCTCAAAGACCAACCCCTCCCCGTCTCAAACTCCTCTTCCACCCCCCGTTCCCTCTTTTTTTTTTTACCTCCAAGCCATACCTCGACCTCGTTTCTCCGTCTCGACGTCCGATTGGCCAGGCATCCACCCCCATTAAGATCGTTGGTCAGTAATTATCATTAGCGCGGTTGCGCACCAGCCCCTTCTCTCCCTGAAAACAAACTCGGTGTCCTTTACCCTGGGATTGGCAACCCTCTCCCGTAATTAAGTTGTGTCCACGCGCAAGCGCAACATCTCACACCGATAGTTCTTCCGTGTTTCTACCCAGGGGCTAGTCAGAGAAAACACTGTACAGATATACCAAACCAATGGGCCTCCCTTTCTCCCCATTTTCTCTTGATAAGGACAGAAAATCCACCCCCCCCCCCCCCCCGTGTCACCAACCTGTCTCACTCCCTGTGGCCAGTAATTATAAGGGGCGTTACCCCAGTGAATGTCTCACTGAAAGTCGTCGAGTTTGCGCTGTTTTAATTACTCATTAACCCGTTGGGGTGTTTTTGCCCGCCCACGAGGCACCAGGCCCCTCCAATCGTCGGTCTTCTCATTATTATATCACGCAGGGGGGTAAGCCCTGTTCATTGGTGGAAATTCTGTCTCATCAGCCACTCAAGCCCCCCTCCCCCCCACTGCACAATCCCCCCCGTTTACCTCTGGGGACTGCCATTTTAATTTGATTGAATTTCACCTGGATGGAAATTCTGTGTCATTTGAACTTCTTGTATTTATTTTTTTTTTACTCCTTACCCTTCCACGTCTCTTCCCAGCCCCTTCCTCTGCCTCCTCACAACCTGAAAATAAATGGTTCTGGGGTAGCGGGGGCCAGGGGGCGACTGTGTGACGAGCAGAACGAAATGCCAATGCGTCGATACTTGGAATAGAATTCTAGTGAACGAGGGAAAGGGGTGATGCATGTATGTAGCTTCTCGCGTAGGGGTGGCTGGGGGGTGAAGGGGTGAGATGGAGAAATCCTGGTGTAACCATACAGAGATGCGCATGTGTATCGATAAAAGGCGAGGCCAAGGCGACGAGAGACGCAAAGGAATGCCGTTTTGTCGTTTTTTTTTTGTATATATATATATTTTTTTTTTAGTTTTGTAGGACGAGAGGGCGGCCCGATGTCTACGAAAATCCTGTCAATACGCGCTTGTCAGAGCGGATGTACCTTAAAAATGGAATTGCATGTATTGTGGGAGACAATATAGAGCCGACGTTTGGACAATCAGTCTAGATTTTTTTTTCTCTCTGTTCTTCATTTGGAGCTCCTGATGTTTGTGATTGCCGAGAGTATGCGGGAGGAGTATTCGTAAATTTTGGAAATGTCGCATTGAGGGAAATACTGGGGTGGGAGTCAAAAAAGAGAAGCATACACACCGGATATGAGAGCTCTGTGTAAGCGCTCGCATTGCGGTTGAATTCTAGCATCGTTTACTCCACACGTGGGGTTGAGAGGAAATTGTCGGGCAAACTTGTCTGA